GATATGGAACCTTGTGGTACAATGTCAGAGAGATCCATACACTAACACACAAGTTATGTCTGGAAGTTACAAAAATGCTTATTTTTGGCCACTTTTTGGCCCCTAATTCCTTAACTGTTGGTACCATAACCCCCAAAATCAATCCCAACCTTCCTTTTGTGGTATTGAACCTTATGGTAAAATTTCATAGAGATCAATTCACTTAAACTAAAGTTAGAGTGCGAAAACTTATGTGTCTTTGGACGACGACAATGTCATACCAATATACGACCGCAAAATTTTTTTGACAGAATGTAGGATCGCTATGTCTCGCTTTTGCGACAAAAGTCGCAGGCTCGACAAAAATTGATCACAGAGTTTGCTTTAACTGCAATATTTAAGAGGATGAAAAGCATGTACTTTTAGATTGTCAATTATATGAGGATCTAAGACATGCTATGTTTATTGATACATGTATATTGTATTATAATGATTTGTTTTTAGATTTGTCTAATGAAGAAAAATTTATATATCTTTTTAAAATATCAATATTTGTAATATTGTTGCCAAAACCTGCAATAACATTTTAACCAGAAGAAACAGTATTTCATATCATTAATTGCTCTTTGTAGTATTTCATATATTAATTAGTATAGATATGTATTTAAATAGTCTCTCACAATTCTTTTACGAATGGCACATACATACATGTATATTTTACTTGTTTTTATATAGGTTTACTGTATATTTATAGATATATATGTATCTTGTTTTAAATGTGTGTTGTACATGTATGTGGTGAGACTTTAATAAACTATTGAATCTAAATCTGTGTACACAATTTCAAATCATATTCTCAGGTATCCTGGTGAACAAAAAAAACCTGATATATCACTCTTGCATTTAATTCAGAAAGATTACTTTTTTGGCCAGTTGATAAAACAAGCTTGTCTTCCAAAATTTACTTGTAAATGGTTGCTTTTGGGAGTATTCTCTATGTTTAAACATTGGTATGGTATTTTTCTAACTCATCTTAGGATCACTTATTGATTTTTTATAAAATTATATGACACTGAAGATGAACAGTCTTATTTCATTTTCATATTATTAATAAATAAATGGGGAATGTGTCCATGGGATACAGATGATGCCCCCGCTTGCATATCATATAAAGTTATAAAGGGACATAACTGAAGAACAGTAAAGTGACGCTACCCAAATTTGTACTTGATCTGAGTTTTGTGGTAATAAGTATTGTGTATAAGTTTCATTATATTTGGTTGAGGCAAACATAAGTTAGAGAACGGTAACGAAAATTCAGAAATTTTTCCATCTGTAAAGGGGCATAACTCTAGAACAGTAAAAGTGACACTACCAAAATTCAAACTTGATCATAAGCATTGTATATAAGTTTCATAACATTTAAGTGAGGTTAACTTTACTTAGAGAACGGAAACGAAAAATTCAGCAATTTTTCCATTTGTAAAGGGGCATAACTCTAGAATGGTTAAAGTGACACCACCAAAATTCAAACTGATTTTTAATATCTTCTTTTTTTCCAATCAAATAATTTTTGAAGGAAGGTGTAGTTTATTTTTTTTATTGAAGTTTGACTTAATAATTTCCAGAAAGAGGCATTGAAGATGCACTTTTTCAACAACAAAAATTAAAAAACTCATTTTTATTTCAATTGGTGTTCATTTTTCATTGAGACAAAAAATTAATCCTGTATTCAAATACATGTACAAATACCATACACTGTTAAATAGCAATATAATGGGGAATAAACAAATAGATTTGTAGAAAATTGCAGAAAATGCCCAGGTTGGAGTTATGCATATTTGTCTATTGTTTCCAGCAAATTATTTATAATAACCTAAATTTATTGACAAATATCAGATGATTTCAACACTGATTTTAAATGTAAAATAAACCCTGATTGAATTTTTTATACATATTTTACTTCTCTTTTAAACAAAAATGCATCTTAAAGATTTAATCCTAAACTCATTCGACCCCATGAGATTTCTGGAAAATCAGACAATTTCGAAAATTTGCAAACATATGCGAATTATATGCAAATTAGTTGACTCTTGATGCTGTAACTGATGCTGTGCTGATCTATTAAACTATGTATTTAGATTTTGGGACAGATGGCATGGGAGGGGGGTGGGGTAGGAGGTGAAGCAATGATTGTAGATGGTAGATCTGTAGAGTTCCTCTGACTTTACAGGCAAAAGAATGAACACAGGAGGAGTATATACATGTATATATAGTTTCCATTTTTAATTCCATGAATCGTATAAATATGTTTGGAGAATTTATGGTAACACTTGAATGTTCCATCCATAAAGTTCTAAAACATAGACTCATAGTACCACAAATAAGTTCATAAATTTGTGGACATGTAAAAAAAATAATTCTGTTAACAGGTAAATTTTCATAGATAAAAAGTGCAAATTTCCCATCAAGTGCAAATGTCCATAGTTTTTAGAGCTCAAATGTCCTTTCATGTAACAGGTAAAAAAACGCAAACGTCCTGTGCCCTCATAGGCAATGCTCTCACTCACTCACTCACTCAGATAATCTAGTCACCTGTAACTCTACTTACCTGTAAAAATCAAACCTTTTCAAGAAAAAATATCTGGATTTATACATGTTGAAATAATAGTATAGCAATTCTTTAATTCCTGAAGTATGTAATATCATATATTTATCCCTAAGAACTAAATATGTCATTATTCATGTTAAAAGTTCATTTTTATAAACTGAATTACCGGTATGCCAAAGAAATAGTATATTAAAATAATTTCCCCAATATGATCAACCAATGTGTTGTACTTAAGAATTAATACATGTAGTTATTTATTCTGTCAAAAGAACCATGAAAATTTCAATTTTGACCACACCAGTATTTGCCAGTATTGACCACTTGAGGAGTATTGACTGGGGCGGTATTTACCACCCAACCTTGCAAGTAAATGTAAGATGCTGTTTCGTAACTGTCATCATGAAGTTAAAGATACAAAACAATGGAAAAATCATTTGTTTTAAAAAAATTTGAGATTGAATTTGAGTGGGCAAGAGAGGAATGTCCAAGGTAGGCAGGTGGAAATGACATATACTACATGAGTTGTAGTTTATAGATGGATGGAAGGATGGCTAGTTTGATATCCAGTGGCAAATTAAATGCATATTCAAGACAAGAACATGGTAATGTGAAATGAGTATAGACCCTGCTTTGTTCAAGACTGACAAGCTGAGCCGGATTTTTTAATGTACTACATGTAGATACATGTATTCATATAATAGTTATTGAAGAACTGGTCATTATCTTGATACATGGACTGCCCACAGGACAGTGGTATTGACTAAGACAGCGATAATGACTGAGCCGTAGGCTAGGTCATTATCGGTGTCGCAGTCAATACCACTGTCGTACGGGCATTCCATGTATCACAATAATGACCAGTTCTTCAATAACTATCATGTTTATTTCATTGAGGAACCATGTTTTTAAAAATTCTCATAAATTCAAATTGTTCAAATTGTTCAAAGCAAACTCAAGTTATTGTACGATTTCTATAGGAAAGAGTGAAGACCAGTCATAGTGATAACTATAAGTTACTGCCATTCATTTAAGTGCAATTTTTCAGTATATGAATACAAAATAAAGTTTTCTATAATTGTATAATTCTTGTTGTGGGGGTAGTTGTCGGAAAGTACGGCTTTTAAAACAATCATTTGAGTTGTCTGTAGCAGACGTGCCTTCCAGTTCAGCCATGTTCCAAACGTCTGAAATGCGATTGCGTTTTATTAAAGGGACATCACTCTAAACAGAGAAACCACGCCTCACTGGTCATTAAATTGTAAAAGTCTGTTAAGGACCGCTTTTCTGGTTCGTTTTTTTCTGTTAAAGGCCGATGGAATTTTTTTACTAAAGAATAAAGAATGTCATGTGGCCCCTTGTTATCCAATAAGAGAAGCTAATTCTTAACCGATATGAAATAAATAAAAATAAGATGTGGTAAAATTGCCAAAGAGACAACTGTCCACCAGAGACCAAATGACATAGAAGTTAACAACTATAGGTCACTGAAGGGCCTTCAACAATGAGCAAAACCCATACTGCATAGTCAGCTTAAAAACAAATGTAAAAGGCCACGAAATGATAAATGTAAAACAATTCAAACGAGAAAAACTAACGGCCTGACTTATGTAAAAAAAATGAACAAAATACAAATATGAAATACAGCGACAAACGACAACCAATAATTACAGCCTCCTGACTTACAATAGTTCACAAGGTAAAACTAATAGGCTGCAGGAAAACTTGGTACCATACCCAACACATTATTCGGACACCAAGCTGACCAGATTTTGCTCTTACTAATTAATGCCTGGGGCTTAGTGTCCAAAACCAATTTTCAAGTCATTGGTTCAACCCAGTTGGGGGTCAAACATACAACCTCTCGCACTTGAGGCAAGCACACTACCACAAGACCACTGAGGCAGTTAAAAATATAAATGATTCCTTTTATAAATAATTTGTAAATAATAGAAATGCAGATCATTATACAAACGAAACAGATGCGTTTATAAGTATATTTTCATTATATTATAATACAAATGTTACCACAAGAAACACACATAAAATTTCATTGTATTAAACATATACGACATAGTCATAACACATAGAGGAATGTCATTGTTATAGTTTACATTAGATAATTTTACAAAAGATATACATGTACGTTTGTAATTTGTAATTTTTACAGGGTTCCATTTCTAGTCCTTTATTTTACCTTTTGTGCAAGTAACTTCATTTATACACAGTACATGCGTAAGGGAAATGATAGTTAAACCGTTACAAACCTGTAAGCAGATAAAGTTTTTAACACGGTTTAAATTTTGAACACCTTTAAAATGTAAATTTTCTCTTATAGCTATACGTAGTCTATATGTAATTTCAAATGCAAAAAAGACGTGCTTATAAATCAAATTAAACTATCAATACGTACCTTCATTAATTCATAGCTGCAAAATCATTGCGTATATGTATATATATAGATGAAAAAATTATAGCCCAATACATGTTTTTGTTGATGTTCGTCCAAAATGGTTGACGGTGTGGTCACATGAACAATACATTGTCTCCTATTGGATAATTTAGAAATCCCGCTTTATGTTCAAATTTAAATTATTTAAGAAGCGAATGCTTCTTATTATGATTTTATTAGGGTGTAAAAGCGTTGACCGAAGCACATTTTGTATGAAGCGCGAAAGTAAAGCGCTTTCTGTATAGCCGGAACATAAGCGCTTCCATGTGAAAGATGTGCGCACGATCAATGCTTTTACAACCCTATACAATTATAAAAGCATTCAATTCATTGCCGAAACGATAATAGACATTTTGGAGCCCTCATTATAGCCAGAGACATATGTACACATGTGTATATATGTCTCTGTTATAGCCATGTTAAAATTAAAAATCTTCTGTCCCAAATGTTCGGTGGCCAAGGTCAAATTAGAGAAGAATTTCTTTGGATTTTACCTGAGACTACTACATATACACCTTATCTATGAGGCGCCGTTTTACTATTTATTCCTTATTTTCTGATATCAAAAATTCATTTTTTTGATATCAGGAAATCGATTTCTTGATATCAGAAATTCGAATTTTTTATATCAGAAAATATTCTTTATTTTTTTATATCAAGAAATAGATTTCCTGATATCAAAAAATGATTTTGTGATATCAAAAATTCGAATTCCTGATATCAAAAAAATCATATTTTGATATCAGAAAATATGAAATAAATGAATGATGGCTCCCTGTGTGTCAATAAAAGCATCCATGCTCACCCATGAGCCCAAACATCAGGAAATATCTGAAATAATGTTCCTGGTAGACCAATGACAGTTCTGTGCTGAATGTGATGCCAACAACTCCGAGGCTGAGTTTTTCTAATTCTTCAGATTCTGGATACATTACATTATTAACACCTATTCTTCCAAAACCAAGTTTCCAGAGTTATAGTACAACCCCTGGCACCACAGCAGACATCAACAAAAGTACAGTGCAAAGTAAATGGTAAGTTCAATTCTTTAATATTACAGTTTTGCATCTATGATATATCCCTCTTAAGAAAAGGGGACTGTCCGGCCCCTCAAACTTTAAACCCTTGAATTTCCTGTTCATTTTGGGGCCCTTTTAATCAATGTTTAAAAGTCACCAATATGTGTTAATATTAAAGTTTCGAGTCTTATTCCGTCAGTACAAGTGTTATTCGGATAATAATGGTGTAATTCAGTCATTCCTGTTACCCTTTATACAATGTAGCTTGCTGTTCGGTGCGAGCAATTTTTTTTAAGGCTCCTTGTTGAAGGCCGTACTTATAATTGCTAACTTTTAATACATTGCGTCTTGGATGGAGAGTTGTGTCATTGTCACTCATACCACATCTCATTATTTATGTTATTTGTACCTAATATAGAAAATATTTTTTTATATACATGTACTAACTACATGACCTGTCATGTCTGAATCATATGTGTAAATGTACAGTGTACATATATGTATCTGAATATTTTAAATTGATATTTTACCTTATTATTTATATGTATTTTTTATATTTAAATTACAGTATAACGTCAACTCCAAAACCAGAAAACAGAGGTTCAGAATTAAAATTAAGCAAAAAACATGAGTTGCCACTTCAAGAGCACAACTATGCAAGCAGTGCTTCAGAGAAATTCAACAGAAAGAAAGCATGTTCCAGAAAGAAAAAAAAACCTTCTGAATCATCATTGAAAACATCAGAAAATAATGATTTACACAAGAAATTATTTGAACAACCAGAAATTTGTGACATTTTGTCTTCTGAGGAATTCTCAACTGTTATTTCAGTTTTGCCAACAAGATCACGGAAAACTTTGGTTAACACCATATTACAATTTGCTGAAATTAAAACTCTTGTGAAAGAAGAACTATTTTCGGAGTTATCAAAAGAACACAAAATTTTGAAAAACAGAAAGCATGGAAAAATAAGCACATTAATGACAAAGGATTTTGAAGACTTCAAACAGTTTACTTGGGACAGTATTGTAAATAAGGCAGTGACAGAATTCCCTCTTCTTGTTGATGTTTTACTGGCATTTTTAGTCCCTGACAGTTTGGAACAAAAGACTAAAGTAGAACGAGTTGCATCTCTAACTCCAAGAATTGGATTTTTGTATTCCGTTCTTGCACAGGGCAGAAATCATGAACTGAGTAAGTGCAGAGAGTTATAAGCATCAACCTGTTTGACAACCTGTGTGATCAAAAGGTAATTTATTTGCTACATTTTGTATATATAGCTTGTTGATTTTAATTGAATGGTTAAAAAAAAATGTTTGTTTAACAACTCAGTGACTTACATGTACCAAATTCATGTATATACATGTATATGCATAAATGACATGTTCAAGTACATTGTACATGTACATACAATGTACATTAACATGCAGCTGACATACACATGTACATGTATATAATGTGTGAAACAGTGTGATGACTAATCTATTTCTGTAACACACATACATGTATATCAATCTGACACGAAATCAAAATTCAATAATATTCGAACAAATTGAGTTCTGAAATTTTGAAATACAATTTCTTTCTATTGTCAGATCAAAATTGTATGTACATGTAATTTGGACATTAGGTTGGGTAAAAAGTGGATAAACAAACATTTTTTATTCAGTTTTTTTTTATACCTGATACAATGTATGTGAACCTGCTTGAAAATTTAACCCATTGCCTTTTGAAATGTTTTAACTCACCAAATTAATAATTTTTATCAGAGGATTACATTCATACATGTATATGTACATGTATATGTATACATGTATGCTCAACAGTAAGTACTAGTCATGACAGAAAATTAGAATTATCATTTTAAAAATGTACATTCTACCTACGTACAAATATATGATGAAGAAAATTAGATGGAAAAAGCTCAGTTTAAAAAAAAAAAAATGCAAAATTCATATAAATAATATTTTCTTTCTCCCCTTTGGCAAAATGTTTGGATAATAATATTCGTGAGTACCTGTAAAAGAAGCAAAATTTCTAATACTACATAATTGTAAACATTACTAAACAAGGTTTATAGTTATCATGGTTATGTTATCTAACAGTTTATATGTTAAGTAATTTATTCATATTTGACATATATATTTAAAACAAATATCATGCTCCTACACATGTAGCTTGATTCAGGTAACGTTAATTAAAAAACAGCATGAGATCACACCTGGTTTTTGTATGTCTGTCCTTGGCTTAAGACTGTCATGACTGACACAATGTCTCTAAAAGTTATCAATCTCAGTATGTACATGTACATTACATGTACATGTATGTAATGGTAATATTAAAACATAAGAAGATGTGGTATATGATTGCCAATGCAACAACATTCCTTCAAAGACCTAAAGTAGTAAATATACAGTCATAAATTGTGGTTTGGCATTTCCAGGACCAAATTCATTATTCTCCACATTTTTCTCAAGATTGTATTACAAAATTCACAAAAATCAACAAGACAGAAAAGATTTTCACAGGCTAGAGGCTGGCAGTCTTGTGCTAAATTCGAAGACTTAATATAAAAGTTAATGCAATTACAGGTCAAGCTATGAAAGGCTCTATTAAAAATGACTAGTGTAAAAATGATAACATATATAAAACTGTAAATTCAGAAATAATTAAGTTTCCTGATAAGAAATTAAATATTGCTATGCAGAATAAAAGGTCAAACTTGAAAGCATTTGGGGCCAGCTGAAGGACGCCTCCGGGTGCGGGAGTTTCTAGCTGCATTGAAGACCCATTGGTGGCCTTCGGCTGTTGTCTGCTCTATTGTCGGGTTGTTGTCTCTTTGACACATTCCCCATTTCCATTCTCAATTTTATGCATACATGTATATTTGTTTTCCTTTCATGTACAATGTTGTACAGGTTGTATCTGACTTTTGAGAGTTCATTAATGTTTGCCAATATTTGTTTGCTTGCACAAATATGTGGAAAGCAGATAACACACAACACAAGCACAAGATTATTTGGTTTGAGCCATCGTGCTTACACATTTTTAATATTTTTTTCCGTTGATTTGCACATTAACCATTGTTAACAGCATTGCATGTAACATTCTCCAGTATGCTGATTATTTTTCAGGGACTGAATGCATGTATGAAAATTGAAGTTTTATTCATTCAAGCATGAATCAAAGAAATGAAACAGCAGTGAAGAAGTATGTATTTCTGTAAATTGAATGCATTAAAATATTATTTAAGCAATAATTCAAGGTCATGTAGCCATAATTTTTAGGTATATTGTACATAATAGGAGGCATTTTTATGCTGTTTTTTTTTTTTAAATAAATTAAACTTAAGCTGGCAATCATGAATTATATTTTTATTCTGATAGGACAATAAATGTCAAAGGTAATTTGAGTATGTCAATTATTTTTAACTGAAGCTTTACAAACAAAGCATTTGAATGACTACATACATGTAATGTACATAGTGGAATTAAATGACATTTGTTTTAATGTGGAATGGGTGAATACAAGATTTCTACACTGTAATACAGAAGTAGGTTAAACCGTTATGGAAAATAAGAATAGAGGTGCAACGTACATGACATACAAAGAAACGGTTAAATTGTATTGATATTAAGAGTAAGAACACTCTGAATAAGTTAAAATAAGTTTATATGAAAAAATATTTTCAAATAATTTAATTTTGGATGTAACGCGTCTTCTGATTGGCTGACGTTGTTTTGTTTATCAGCTCATAGACATAATTTTGTCATGTGACCGTGACGTCATCAACGTTTTTTCATGGTTTACTCAGGTTTAAAATGGAATTTAGAATTAAATTATAAGAAATGACTAATATTTTTTCTGTCTATTCGAAATAACATAAAAAATGTGGTGCACACTTTAAAATAACCCGCTATGCGGGTTATTCAGTGTGCACCACATTTTTGATGTTATTTCTTCATAGACAGAAAAAATATTACAGTCATTCCTTAAATAAAAAATAGTAGACACAAAAAATAAAAAAGGGGGAGGTCCACTCCACAAGCGCCTGTGGTTAAAACAGCCTATTCACCTGTGCAAATAGAATGAATATAAAAAATGTTGTCAAGTTGTTTTCATTGGTACAAAATCATTTTTAACAAGTGAATTTCTCATCAACAGGTATTTGACAGATTGCAACCTATAGGTGTCTGTTTGAGCTATGGTCATGGTTTGACCATATTGGACAAATTTTCTGGAAATTTCAACTCCGCTGTCATTGATGCTCTGAAAGATGAGAAAAGGATTCGCTTGGTAGGAGACAACATTAATTGGAAGACAAATGTTCATGACGAGAGACAAGACAACCATGGTAAAATGCATCATGCTTTTGGATCCGCTGTGATTGTTCAGACCCTATCTTTTGACAATATAAGCAGAATTAAACCTCAAAAACTTTTCTATGAAGTAGACCATCAGCTTTTCCTCCCTTCGTCGGAAGAATGGAAGCATATCAAGGAGGAATATGCCATACATATGCTTCATGTTGCCTTCAAACATATTCCTTACTTTAAGATTTTTGAAAAATTAATTACAAAACAGATTGTTGGTCAATATAGTGAGCAATTGAAGAAGAAAAACAAGGTTGTTCCTTTACCCGTGCTCCATTTGAATGAACAGAAATATGATGATGTTGTTCAGATTATGGACTATTATGAAAATTTCCTAAGTGACACTTATGAAAAAGCTGGATTGGACTTTAACAAAAATACGCACGTTCATTGTGGGGGTGACCAGTTGACGCGTGAACGGTATTCTGGAGCAAAGAGATTAAGATCATGAGCTGCCACACCATCCAATAGATTCGAACATTTATCTCCAATAACTTTCGAATTGTTTCACATGCAAATGAACTATGTAAAATTGATGTTCAAACGTTTGTATAGTGAAGAAGGACTGCAGGAACAAGGCACCCTAAAATGTGAAGCAAATAGGGTTCTAAGAACGAGTTTGAACCCAAATGTTAATGAGCATTTTGATGCAGATAAGGACTTTATTGTGTCATTCACAGATGCATATATTGTTGAGGCCATTACCCATTTTTTTGATATGGAAAGTGTGTTTTCTGCACCAAGAAAAAATGTATTACCTGACAATGTTTGTACAGAGGACCAAAAGAAGGAATGGATGATGGATATGTTCCAAAAAATTGTTGAAATCTATGTGTGGGATAAAGAGAACAAACAAAACCAAGAGGATAATGTTGAAGGTATGTTAAATCATTAATATACATAAAAAGTTTACAGAAATCGAGAAATGGAGTTTGTTTCCTTACTTCTTAATTTGAGCATTTAAGGTTTTATTTGAAGTCTTGAAATCAGTGGTACATTATACATTTTGTAGCTTCTTATAGTGAAATTCTGATATAATTTTAATATTTAATTGATCAGTAAACAAAATGGGCAAAAGGTTAACATGGTTAATACAGAAACAAATATTTTGAGAAATTAAAAAAAAATAATTGAATGTTGAATAAAAACAATATTCTGAATAGGAATTATGATTTATTAAAATCAATTTATCATGTTTATTCTCATTCAATTGCAATTTTGTGAAGATAATAAAAACTCAAAATAGGAAGAGAAAAAAAAAATTCAATGTAAATTGATTATTTTACACTTTTTATAATTTGGATAAATGTTTAACATTGTGTATATGAGTGTTATAAATCTAATATGAGAATTTGTGTCAAATAGGTGAATATGCCCCTTTAATAAATTTCGAATGTATTTTACAAATAATTTTATCATTTCAGTTGATGGTGTTAATTGTCATTCCAATTCAACTAAGTAATGGAAAGAGACGGTCCTATGTAATTAAAAAGGCACAGAAATCACAAACACCACAAGAAGACAAAGTGAAAAATTATGGACATTTATGTCTTGAACTTGGGTTACAGTTCAAGGCAATACTGGATCTTTGCAAACTGCCAGATAGGGATCGTGGTCTACGACTATTGAAAGTTTGCATGATACATTTCAAGGCAAACAACAACTTGTCCAAGTATGCCTATGAAATTTTAAGATTATTGGTTCATCAGTTGTGCATATTGTCAGAGCAGGAGGCACATGAAGAGTTTTATGGACTATTCGTGAACACTTAAGGGAAAATAGACAGCCATATACCATGTGATTTACAAATGGAATACATTGTGAAGTCCGTAAAACGTAACATTAAACACATGTTTTCAAATAAGACCGATAAAAACATAACGACAAGAACAAGTGCTCTTCCAGCAATAAAGGATATAGCTGAAAATTTTGACAAAACTTCAGGAGTAATCATCCGTTGTAAAAAACATTCCAGCATTGATGCCATCAAGGATGAATTGGACATAATATTCGACCTGCAAAATGTAAATCCTTTCACTTTTACAGCAGGCAGATCTCATGACTCATTTAAAACAATATCTAGTAGAATGGACAAGCTCTTGGATGTGCATCATTTTCATTCTTGGATAGAAAGCAATGTATACAAACATGCTACTGAACTCGGAAATTAATTCTCTACTCATCATGCTAACTTTAACATTTTTATACGACTGCAAAATCTTATATTGGTATGACGTTGGCGTCGTCGTCCGAAGACACATTGGTTTTCGCACTCTAACTTTAGTTTAAGTGAATGGATCTCTATGAAATTTTACCATAAGGTTCAATACCACAAAAGGAAGATGGGGATTGATTTTGGGGGTTATGGTACCAACAGTTAAGGAATAAGGGGCCAAAAATAAGCATTTTTGTAACTTCCAGACATAACTTGTGTGTTAGTGTATGGATCTCTGTTTGTGTCGAAGTATCAATCAGCGGGTGGCCAGTTAAGTCAAAATCAAAACAATGAATGCGAATTTAGTGAATTTTTCGTGTTTTCGTGAGTTTATTCTTCTTGAAATAGGGGCATTTTAACTTTACGTGGGAAACTAGAGTTCAACGACTACACATACAAGGTTTGGACTTGATTATTCTTTGGACATTCAAGTTTCAAGTTTCACCCCCGCAACCTGTTTTTGTAATGGGGTGCCTATAAAGTGCGAAAAGAAATAGAAACGAAAAGAAACGAAACGAAAAGAAACAAAACGAAACGAAACGAAATCAACATAAAACGAAACGAAACAAAACGAAATAAAATAACGAAACGAAAAGAAAAGAAACGAAACGAAACGAAACGAAACGACATCAAATTACGGATCACTTTAATTAATTTTTTTAAATCTATTTAAAAACAAAACTTAAAAAAGATCATAAAATACTTAGACAAATACAATATTGTATTACTAGTGTATGTGCCTTATTGTGGTTTTTCGTGAGGGTGAGGCAACACTGACTGGCCTCTCGGAATTAACGTTTCTACAGTTGTCATCCTAGCTGTTTAATTGTACACTGGAGCATCCAAGTTTAAAACCGACTAAGGCACGGACCATTTGACTTTTTTTGGGGGAGGGGGAGTCTGGTCTTTTCATGTGGACCGGGATTTTTTTTCGAACGCTACGCTGGACAGATTATTGTTTTCATTGTTCAATGTAGAAAATTTATTTGGGATTTTTTTTCTATTGGAAAAATGTGGGCAACTTGGATTTTTTTTTTTTAATCCAAGTGCTGGCTGGACAGATAATTTGTTTTACCTAAATCAGGGCCAGGATATTTTTCCCCAATAAAGTCAAATGGTCCGTGTCTAATCGTGTCTGTCTAGTATAACATATAGAGTTCATAATCAAATATTATATATTGTGTTTAAATTCCTAAACCACAGCTTGTTAACGATTACGCTGAATTTCACATTTTTTTTCCCAATTTTAAAAGAAATTGTATCAAACTAGACAATACTATTTATAAATATAATCGGCTTAATATTCAATTTGACTGATTTAAATTTTATTTCTATTTCGTTTCGTTTCTTTTCTTTTCGTTGGTTCCTATTTCGTTTCGTTTCGTTTTATGTTGATTTCGTTTCGTTTTGTTTCTTTTCGTTTCTATTTCTTTTCGCACTTTATAGGCACCCTTTTGTAATGACCTTGTTAGCCAATTTTCAACACGAAGTTTGCAAGTTTGACGTTTCAGCCATTTTAGCACAGGCACTTGTTTCTATCCATGGGAAGACCCACTATCAACGTATTTAAAAAAAAGTCTCGTAAAAAGACGAAATAGACGAAGTATTTGAAAATACAAGACATGCAATTTTTTTATTTGTTATTATTGGCTTTGAACTAGCTGTCAGTAACTGAGAGTACTCTCACATCTGTACTTTGTGTCTTTTTTGTTGTTGTTACCCTGCCACGTCCAGTCTGTGTTTTTGTTAGCTGTTTTTCTTCTTTATTTCGATCTGATGAGTCAAGCCCTTTTTGACTGATTTTTATAGTTTGTTCTTACACTATGTTGTGATGGAACACCGGTGTCCCAAGTGAGGGGGAGGGTTGAGCGCTCAAACATGTTTAATCCCGCCACATTCTTTATGTGTCTGTCCCAAGTCAGGAGCCTGTAGTTCAGTAATTGTCGTTGGTTCATGTCTGTCATATTTGTTTTTCGTAAATTGTTTTGTTATGCATTATGCCTTTAGCTTTCTAAATTGAATTGTTTCATATTTTCATGTCGGGGCCTTTTATAGCCGACTATACGGTATGGGGTTTTCTCATTGTTGAAGGCTATACGGTATGGGGTTTTCTCATTGTTGAAGGCCCGTACGGTTGCCTATAATTTCTTACATCCACTTCATTTGAACTTTGGTGGATAGTTGTCTCATTGGCAATCATACCACATCTCCTTATTTTATACTAAACAGAACTAACTAACTTTCTAAATCCGCAACATAAACAACGGGGGAAAAAAAACTAAAAACAAGATTACCAAAACACTGGGACTTAATTTCACAAAAACCTGGCTGCACACATCTGTTTCAGAGGTAACCAATTATTGCTTATAAAAGTAGCGGGAACTTATAATTGTTGACTATAAACCTTAAAATAATTAATATGTGAAATACAAACACACAAAACTTCTTATGACTGATGAAGCCGAACTCTGAAATATTCTTTCCTTAAACACGACCGAAACACCAGACCTAATGTTAGGGCTCATGGGTGAGCTCGGATGCTTTTATTGACACACAGGGAGCAATCATTCATATTTTTCTTATTTTCTGATATCAAAAAATGATTTTTTGATATCAGGAATTCGAATTTTTGATGTCACAAAATCATTTTTTGATATCAGAAAATGTATTTCTTGATATCAAAAAATTGTCAGTATTATTTGATATCAGAAAATCTATTTTTTGATATCATAAAATGGATTTCTTGATATCAAAAAATGATTTTTTTATATATCAAAAAATCGAATTTCTGATATCATGAAATAAATATTATTTTCTGATATCAACAAATCGAATTTTTGATATTAAAAAAATTGAATTCCTGATAT